TGTATACCTTCTACAGAGTTCCTGAACAAGGTAGAAGGTTGCAGCTTTAGTTACTGGCCAATTGTCAAAGCCCTGAAGTCTGGATTCGAATGACTAGTTTGAATGCCTTTCGAAGAGGCATTATTAATTTCTAGCAAGAAACAGTCGTTCCTGCTCGTTGCCTCAAATCTTCAGGTCATATTTTATCAATTTTTATGTTCTGTTTAACCACCAGTACCTTTCAGCTATCGGTGCCAAGCCTAAAATTGACCTGCACTCCAAAAAAAATGAACCGGCACGGATGCAATTTTGGCTGGCACCACCAGGCATTTTGCACCGGTAGTTCCGAAACTGCCCCCACCCCTGTGTTTACCAGCGGGCATTTGTTTTTCAAATCGGGAAAGGTACTAACGGGGTTTAATGATGCTCATTCATCTGCATTTACTAGTACACAAGAGAAAGGAACTCCAGGGAATGAAATAGACGACACTTCTCACAGGGTTCTAAATACTCACCATGGAGAGACTACTCTAAAATAGCAGGAGGTCAGTCAGTGTTTGGGTTGCATAAGATTTTGAGTTGAAGAGCAGCCGTTGCCTATGGTATGTGGCCTGGCCACCACATCAGACCGGACAGGACCTGTTCAGGTCTGGATTGTGGACCCACCACATCCAATTCTGGCAATCGCAGTTGCTGCATCAAATGGCATTATGGCAGTTGCTGCGTCAAATGGCACAACAACATGCTATGAACATAGGGGCACGCCGACTGCAACTGTAGAGGCATTGCCATTTCATCTAGTGTCCAAAAATTGGATGTCAGGGTGCCATACATGAGTGCAGTATTCACTGCGTACTACTCTTGGGGCTACTGGCTTGGGATGATGCAGCAGCAGAGGACCTTGCATGGGAATAGGGTGTAGCAGTAGTAGGAGTAGGAGAAGTGGGAGTAGTAGGAGTAGGGAGGAAACATAGATTAACAATTGTCACAAAACGATCAAAGGAATCTGCAAGGGAGGAGACTTTGGTTGGTTTTGATGATGGACAGTTTGTCCGCCATCGAAGTCAAACTCTCATCCCACGAGGTGACACTGTTCTTCCCTCCTCACTTCCTTGGATTGTCTCGACCTTCCTTCCTTCTGCTTCTCTATCTGCTCCAACTGCAACCGAGCTGCCTCTGCCGCCTTACCTACTTCTCCAATCTTCAGCTCAGTGATAGGCAACTTGCAATTCCCTGCACTGACTGAACTTTCTTCCCCCATTCCAAAAGACTCTTTTCACACACGATAAACGCGAGAGTGTTCAAAGGTTGAAGGCCATTCACACGTCTACTCAGATATGGAATCTGGTGCTGATTCCCAACCCAAACAAGTTAACAGACTTGACAGGCTCACGGGAATGACACTGACCACCAAGACTATCTAACAGGGCTGTACTTCCAATGGCAGTCTTAACTGATCTGTAACCTCCCGCTGAATCAGATGGGGTCACTTACCAATTCCCAACTCTGCGTAGGACTGTTTTTAGGCGCAGGGACTGACAACAGTGACCGACACCCAATCACACATGGACCCAACCTCGACCAGCGAATATCTTCCCACAGAAAATTATTTATTTGTTAGAAAAAATTGAAAAACACAAACTAAAAGTGGAATACTCAGATTACCGTTCACACTTAGAACCCAGATAATTAGAGTTAAACTGTGCTGTTTAGAGGTATGGGGAATACAGCAGGCTTGTGCCAAATGTCAAAAGACAGTATGAGAGGTTATGGGCTCAGCCCAACAGCCAAAACCGTCAACGGAACTTATTACTTTAAACCACCAGTACTTGGCCCAGCGATCGGCCGGGGGAACAAAAAAAGAGTAGAAACGTTTCTAGTCAGATGAAAGCCCACAACCAAATCAGAAACACAAACTTTTCTTTTCTAATCAGGCTCACAACAGAGCCGTCGCACAACCGTCAGCATTTCACAGCAAGGGAGAGATATACTTAATTTACGCAATCATGAAAAAAAAAAAAAAAAAAAAAAAACGACCGGAGCGGATTTCAGAAACCGCAAATGAATTCTGCATCCGTTGCTCTAATCAAGACTGGAATATGCCATTCTACTAAGGACCTTACATCTGACACAGGCAGAAGTCAACATTAATGAATGCATATAGTAATTGCCAACAGACAAGACCAACTGACAGACCAAAACAGACAGCTGAAACAGACACGGTTTACGGTAGGCACTTGCAGTACTGGCATGCAATCACATCAAGCGAGGGTAGGTCGAAGCAATTCCACTTTGAGATTAAAACAAACTTAGAGATGGGTCAGAAACAGCCAAAACGTTAACTGGCAACACATTTGATCTAGATTGCAAATATACTGACAACTGACAGACGCTAACAGACACAGACAGGGTCTGACATCAACCAGGAAATATACAGATAGACTCACTTGAGCGCCGAAACCTGATTGAAGAAATCCGGGCGGTCAACCATTGACCGCCAATCTGCAGCAGAATATCGCAGAACCAGGCTGACGCTGACGTCAGACCTGCAGCAAAGATCCCCATAGTCTTCCAATCAAGTAACTCGTCTAAGTAACCGCAGCAGCGGCCCAGGCGATCGAACACACCGTCAACAGGCAAGGGCTGAGGGTCACAAGGCCCTCAGGTCAACCAGTCCACTTAGGGTTGATGCAGCATTCAACTCCACTCTCACCAGCTGAAACGTCCAGTGAACGTTCCACCACTCTG